GCGCTTTTGACGCTGACGCATTTACCTTTTGCCCAGCGGGAGTAACCTTCCAGGTCTCTAGGCGCACAAAGTCTGACTCTTCCTCTGTTTTTTACCCCTTTTTTCCCTCAGACCCTCAGCTCTGTGTGGTCTCTACTCTTCATCGATACGACCAAGCCACCGCCTACTTCCAATCGTCAACTTCTCATCTCTTACGTCCGCCCCTACGCTCCAGTCTCGGTTACTACATTGGCCAGATGGGTTAGATGGCTCTTAGCCCTTGCCGGGATAGACCAGGCTTTTGGAGCACACTCAGTTCGAGGGGCCGCGGCCTCTTCCGCCTACGTGGCAGGGGCCTCCCTTCCAGATATTTTACGAGCTGCGGACTGGACTAGAGAATCCACCTTTAGGACGTTCTACTTCCGTCCTCCATCTAATCCAGCTTTTGCTCTACTTTCTCAGCGTTGAAATTGCAAAATACGAAGCCTCCTGTCATGTGATAAAATTGAAGATTATGCTAGCTTCAGTGTACAGATAATCTTAATTTTAATATTGACAGGAGGCGAGTATTTTCCCTCCCTGCTCTCTTTTGCTCTTCCCTCCCTCTGTCTTCATGTATATTTCTATCTCTTTGTTCACATGTTATTATTGTTCTAATGCCTAAGTTGGTTTTTTCTCACACTTAATACAGATATGCCATGTGGGTGGGATGGTTTAGTTAGCATCAATAGATGGGAGGTATGTATCCGCTCTATTGCAATAATGATGGTTTTCTTAATCATAAGGGAAAGACAGCTCATTGTTTTTACACAACCATATCTGGAATCTAATACCCTTTATATTCTCGTTTCAGTTTAACCAGATGAATCAGGACACTAAAGACTCCATTCAAGATGTCATCATCGTCTTGTCATGGAAGATCGTCACTTGACATCAAGAAGTCTTCCCTTGGAGTCTATCTGTTTATGTTCAATTTTTATGTTATAACTTATCTCTATTGTTATTCTGCATTGTGATCTTGTGATGTCGCATGCCTTAAGAGGAAATTATGTCATACGTTACACCTCTTATTCTCTATACTGCATTGTGATTGGTTCTCAGTTATGTCACTCTATTCTTTGCTGCTATGGAGTTAGTAAAGAAAGATTATGCAAAATACTTGCCTCCTGTCATTATTAAAATTAAGATTATCTGTACACTGAAGCTAGCATAATCTTCAATTTTCCTACCACCTAAATAGTGATTTAAACACTATAGGGTCAGGAATACATGTTTGTGTTCCTGACCCTATAGTGTTCCTTTAAATACATCAATATAGATTTTTTTGTTTGTTTGTTTTTACTGTTCCTCTTTTTTTCCCTCTATTGGTCACGTCTCACTTGATCTGTGAATAAAATCCACAGTAAGTAACTGACACAGAGCCATCAGTCTTTGAGGTGCATGTCAGCTCAGAGTTAAGGAATTTGGCCAAACACCCAACTGGCCCAAATTAGGCCAAAATAAATCTCCAAATCCATTTTATACACAACTTAAGCACAAGGTATTGGGGGTCCAGATTGTAAAAGATGGGTGCCTTAAAGAATGAGACACAAACTATTCTAATAAAATTGTGATCTCATTATAAAACCTGTATCATCAGATGAGGAGATTCATGGCCTCAGCCTCTCCACTGCCCAAATGCAAAACAAATAAAAATCACTGTTTCCTCGATATACCCCAAATGAAAACATGCATGCATTTAATTATGCATTTTTGGGGGTATATCTAAAAACAGCTTGTAAAAGCTGCAAATCTCCTGTCTGCAGCCTTTGCAAGCCCTCCCCTTCTAACCCCGCCCAGACTTTCTGTGGCTGTCCAATCACAGACTTCCCAATGCAGCTCAATGAGAATTCTTTGCAAGGCAGGTACTCTGGGCAAATGCAGCTTGTTGAGTTTATCTCCACTGAGCTAACCGAACCACGAAGTAACAGGACCTGTTGTCTGCTTGAAAGGTCAAGGGGATGTAACAAGGCTAATTTATAAACGTGTCAGTTTCACTCTTCAGACATAAAACATATAGGATAGGAAAAAAAAGATGTTTGGCCATGACTGGATGCTGATTGATAAAGATAATGAATTACAGATTTCCTAATAGACCAACACCAGGACACTAATTCTGGATCCATGACATGTCTAATGATCAGTTATTACCAACCTGTCTAGGCATTCAGTAACATTCTATGCTGTATATCTAGTGACATTGACATGTCCACAAGAGACACGCTGAAATTGCTGACTGTCGTCCTTCTTCAAAGAATTATGGGGTCATTAATGCTGCAGAGGACATTCCAGTCTTTAATTTATTCAGATCAATTAGAAAATGTATTTCCAGTTCAATGTAATGGAGGTTTAATTGACACTAGTTGTGGTTGAAGAACCCACTGTAATTTGTAGAAACAATGTAGAAGAAAGCTAGCATGAACATTGATTAATGAATAATTACTGAAATCTGTTAACACCCAACAACATATCATGCCATTGAGAGTGTTGAGGTATAAACCAGCTGAGATGTGCAGTAACTGCAAGAAAACCTTTACAAAGTATCCATACCAAACATGCACACTCTCGGAGGATCTTTGTTATCTTATTGTCGGCAACATGTTATTATTAACCAGAGAACCAATCGATAAATGCCTGAATATAGTCAGTGCTCTATGTTGCTGTGGGTTAGGAAAAATGGTGCTACAGGTACAAACGTCTACATGCCAAAACATCCCTGCTCTGTGGTAATTAACATTATCACTTCTCTAAAAGTATCACTTCTGTGGGTTAGAGCATCAAAACACAACCATAACTCAGAGCAGGCATTAACTCACATTAAAATATAATACAGTTATAGTGCTGAGGGACCCAAGACTCCCATTCCCTTTCGACTCTAACCCACGCAAAAGGTATCCACTCCCTATGTTGATGACAACTAACCATGTAACCTGTGTGACCGATATACACAATGTATTACAGCAGGCCACAGGACAAACTTATGACCAGAAGGAACGAAGCAGAGTCCATCACTTAATTGTTAGTATGCAAGGCAGGGAACACACAATGGCCTAATCCTTCACTGCATGATCCTTCAGAGAGGTCATAGCTATAATTGCCCATGTCTACCAAAGAAGTTGAATTTTGTTATTGTTTTGTCTCTAGAAACCTACTGACCTGCGATATTTATCGTAATATGAATGAAAACCAAGTTAAAAACCTAATGGTAATAATGTCCATCTCTCTCAATGTGTTTTATGGAATTTGATGTTTCATGGTGAAATGCAGTGCCCCTCAACCCTCTCCTCAAGGCACACCTAACAGTCCAGGATTTAGGGATTTAGGGTGTGTCTATGTTGTTTAGTTTTTTGTTTTTTTTAAACATACCTAGGTAATCCCTAAATCCTGGACTGTTAGTTGTGTCTGGAGGAGAGTGTTGAGGAGCACTGGTGAAATGCACATAAATCACTAAATGCAGCACATTTATAATTCATATTATTATGTGTGGATTATCAGATCATTGCAGAAACTCACGAAGGCTCTTTCGAAAGGACAGACAATAACATTGTACGTCATCCCAGCCATGTTTTTAAATATTGATTGACCCAATACATTTTTAACATGATTATTCTAGTTTGAAAGATTACATTTGCAAAGCTATAAGCGAGCTTGCGGTATTCACCATTCAGCAGACGTCAGTCTTTAACCTTTCCAGTCATAACTCCCACTGAAATATCAGGTCAGAATTCAAATGTATTAAAGGAATTCTAACAATGACTAGGTCATGATTTGATGGCATTCGTGGACTTTTAACAAAAGTAACAAAGTTAAGAACACAGTGAGTTGTGTTGATTTTATATAGAGCACAGCTTTCAATTCGCTATTATGAATGAAGTAAGATCATGTCAAAAAGTAATAGGCATGGAGGTGCTTTGAGGTACGACCAGATAAAGGGGTCAAATATTGTTTCAAGGTGTTTCGAGATACAGGTATGAGCATTCACAAAAATAGTGAGGAGAGGAATTTGATATTGATCTTTACCTATATCACCTGTGGCAGCATGCATGGCTTCCTCATAAGTTCAGATTTCCGGCTTGTCTAATGCTTTTCAAACATTGCAAGATTTCCGAGGTGACTAAAACTACGTGTTAAAACGCTCTTAAAAAATGTGTTCAGGTGGTAAAAAAAACAAAAAAAAACTTTGTAGTGATTTTTAGTTAGCTGATCTTATCCTTTAAATAACTTGAAAGGTCCAAAATGTATAATTTGTTGTGGTGAAGCACTTAGTGAATTATTTAAAGGTGATACTAATTTAAACATAAAAATGTCTGTATAAATCACTTCACAATTAAAAAAAATAAACCAACATTAAATGATTTGTATTTTGTGTAGTTTGCAGTGCTCATAGAACAAATAAAAAATAAAGGGATATCTATTCAAATTTGACACCCACAGATATCTATTCTGTGACACCCACAGTATTGTTGAAACCGCTATTTTATACAGCGACAAAACCTCAAAAACAAAACAGAGAAAACAACAATAATGCAGATAAGTGTAAAAATAGGGAGAGATTCACTAAATCCTTAAAATGCAAACTCACATAGGAGGTACAAAGAATGTGGCTCAGTGTTGTCGCCTTGGAGTCATTTTGTAGGGGGACCACTTTCCCTTCTTGGGAGTTTTCTTGCTCGTATTAGGATGGTTTTATGAAAGAAAAGACATTCACAGACAGTGCCGTATGCACGGATCCAAATATAAAGTATTTTGAGCAATATTTCTCACTCACATTTGTTTGTCAGCGTTGTGTGCATCAAAATTATTGTTGTCAATTGACTAACACTCAAAGCACCATAACCACTGTAGTGGAGTTTGTCACCATACCACTAACACTGTCCCCTCAGTTCTGGATCAAGCCACTTTGAAACAGTTAACACAACTTGGTGTCTCATTTGGCAAATAGGGAAGATGACATCTGTTACAAACTGCCATTTATAACTGTTATTTTACTTGACAAATTGCCCTGCTTCCCTGTGTTATGGAGAAGCCTAATTGCCAGCCTTCTGCCCCATGACTATGGACCTAGTGTGTATGGCGATTTGACCGTATTTGTGGGATCTGAGCGCTGTTTGGATATATTGAGCGCTCAGATCCAAGCCATCTGGGGATAGGTTGAATGTGGGGGTTCTGTTCAGTTCAATAGGAGTTATGTATTTTTGTGTCTTTTTGTGTCTTTTGCTAACATGTGGTTAATGGAGTCTGCCTCTATCCCTGGATAATTGGATTACTTTCCCCATTGTCCAGGATAGAGGCCTCTGTAAAACCGGTTTGGGCCAGAAAACCATGCTGCCAGCCAGGCCCCAAAAGACACTTTTGCTAACTTTTGAACCCCTTGTCTGATTTGTGCCATTTTTTAATATGTTGCTCCCCTTAATGGATTGATTCCAAATATGTAATTTTTATGAAGATTGGATGTGTAGTTTGGAAGTTATAGTACATGTATAAAAACTGTATTTTTACTGTTCTGTTTTAATTATGTTATGTGATTATCTGAGGGATGGGAATTTCCCCGAATGTATATTGTTCCGATTGGTTATACTGCTAATTATGTGGGTGTCTCCCTTGCATGGGCAGAATCTCATAAAAGCAGAGTGTGTGCCATTAAACATCAGATCTTCTTGACCCTCAATACGTAGCCTTGTCTCGTTATTGGAGGGAACTGCTATATCACACTGGGGATTGCTATGCTCTGCATACTCCCCTGAGCTTTTAATCACTTAGCTCTTTTAAGAGCTGTTCCTGTTACGCTCTCCTGGAGGAGAGGTCTTCCCCACACGGTCCTGGAGGACAGAAGCTGATCCAGGGTGGAAGGAAGACGGCGAGACTCCAGTTAAGCTACGGCGGTTGTGGAGTCTGCGGTGGTTGTGGTGTCTGCTGCAGTGTTTGGAGTCCTCAGGAAGCGCTAGGAGCATCCATCAACGGAGGGTACTCAGTCGGAGTACAAGGAGCTCCGTTACATTGGTGGCAGCGGTGGGATGGCGTCCTAGTGCGAGGAGAAGCAGCTCGGAGACACTGGTATCGTATGAGAGGTTATTGAGGGCAACGCTAGCCACTGTGCAGCGTCCCTAACTACAGCAGCATGGAGCAGGGATGGATAGAGCCCTGCGAAGAGCACCTCAACAGGATACGTCGCTACGAGGACGACGCTTACATTGAGGAGGTAAAGAGGCGGTTGGTCTGCTATGGCCCAGACCTTTCGAACGAGGTGGTCCACCAAGTAATGCGCCAGTTGAGTGCTGAGAACAGTGCGGCAATGGCCTTTGAGCGACAACTGTGGAGGTTGAGGATATGGACACCTAGTCTCCAGCGGCAGTGCAAGTTACAGGGAGCCGAAGGTGTCGTCCTTCCTCCCCAGCGGCAGTGCAAGTTACAGGGAGCCGAAGGTGTCGTCCTTCCTCCCCAGCGGCAGTGCAAGTTACAGGGAGCCGAAGGTGTCGTCCTATCTCCCCAGCGGCAGTGCAAGTTACAGGGAGCCGAAGGTGTCGTCCTTCCTCCCCAGCGGCAGTGCGAATTCCAGGGAGCCGAAGGTGTCGTCCTTCCTCCCCAGCGGCAGTGCGAATTCCATGGAGCCGAAGGTGTCGTCCTTCCTCCCCAGCAGCAGTGTGTCCTACAGGGAGCAGAGACAGTTGGTCTCTCTCTCCAGCAGCAGGACAATATTATGGGAGTGGAGACAGGCGGTCTCCCTCTCCAGCGGCAGCCTGTGTTTCAGGGAGAGGAGCACAGCACCCTATCTCCCCAGCGGCAGCTTACCCTACCAAGGGGAGACACCAATCTCCCAGATGGCGCAGAGGGGACCGTGGTCTCTGTGCCCGACCTACAGGGATGCTGGACAGCCTGTCCAGATCCCCAACTACCCTCACAGGGACAACAGGAGGAGGGGGTAAGTACGAATTCCCCTCCCCAGCTAACTCCTAACTTGGCCCCAGGGTTAACAGGGGAGATGTTAACCCCCACTGACCCCCACGTTCCCCTGGCTACTGAGCCGGACTATGTCCCAAGCCCCCCAGCGGAAGAGCTGGCAGCTGGGCAGAGTGCAGTCGGCCTCTGCCCTCCCTTTGTCCCTTGTCCAGAGCCTGATGTCCTGCAGGCTATACCAGCAGAAGAGCTGGCATCAGGGCAGACCGCCCCTGGCCTCTGCCCTACCGATCCCCTTGTCACAGGACTGGCCTGCACCCCCCTCCTCCCAGCAGAAGCGCTGGCATCAGGGCAGAGCGCCGCTGGCCTCTGCCCCTCAAGTCCCCACAGCGTGTTGCCCCATCACCCCAGAGGAATACCCAGGTGCAGTCACTGTTTGCTGTGGGTGGGCTGCTCTAATAACTGTTTGTTGTGGGTGGGCTACTCTGGCACTTGCTTATGGTCGGTGGGTGACTCGACTAACTTAGGCACTGACCGACAGAAAGTCAGGTGCCTGGTTAGTCTTCCCCCCGAAGGGGAGATATGTGACGAAGTGCCCTTCGCCACTTGGTCCTGGAGAGGCCTACTTGCCAGCCTCCTCCCCTGTGACTATGACTCTTTCATGTATCTGGCTTTAAAGCCCCTATTCTATCTTCAGACAGACTATTTATGTAGGCTGCTTTATTTCTCTTATGTTTTAGTCACCCTGTACCCATTATAGGTGCAGGGTGTGTGTAATGTAATTGTTTACAGTGTGTGTGTATGTACTGTGTAATGTATTGCCTTCTCTCCTGTACTGCTGAGGTTTGCTACCAACTAGGTGGGTTTGGCTATGGAGCTGGTCTAGTGCCCTCTGTTGGTAGCAACAGCAATATGCACTACCTGAATTGCAAGACTGGTTCATTTGCATATTCGGGTAGATTTGCATATTGCTAATTCTGCAGGCAGGTGAGATATTTACTGTTAAATATTGTCTCCCCCCACCCCTTTAAAAATGTGCCATTGTGTTGTGATAAGTCACTGTGTGTTTCTTGATATGGTTTGACTGTTTGTGATTTTATTGAGGTTTCACAACAATGTTATTGTGGTGACTGTATTGGCTGGTCCCAAGGGAATAAAGGTTTTGACAGTTCTTCTTGATCCCTCTAAATGTAGCCTTGTCTCGTTATTGGAGGGAGCTGTTATAATCACACTGGGGATTGCTATGCTCTGCATGCTCCCCTGAGCTTGAGTCACTTAGCTCTTTTAAGAGCTTGTTCCTGACAGCTCTCCTTGGAGGAGGGGTCTTCACCACACAGTCCTGGATGCTGGAGGTTCGTACAGGGTGGAAGGAAGAGTTCTTTCCCACACAGTCCTGGAGGACAGAAGCTCATCCAGGGTGGAAGGAAGACGGCGAGACTCCAGTCAAGATACGGCGGTTGCGGAGTCTGCGGTGGTTGTGGTGTCTGCTGCATTGCTTGGAGTCCTCAGGAAGCGCTAGGAGCATCCGTCAACAGAGGGTACTCGGTCGGAGTACAGGGAGCTCCGTTACAACATCTGAGTAGTTTTTAAAGACACTGATAACAAACTGATTGGAATCTTCAGAATCTCTTTAATCTCCTCATTCCAGTTCCATCCATTCTAGTTTGCTCGCCATCTTTAACTGATGCTAATGGCTTTCCGACCTCTTTCTCAATTTCAATTGTAATATGGCTTCTTGTGATTTGAGGATTATAGTGCCCTCCATGGAACACGATCCACACTTGAGATCATCTTCATGGACTATCTGTGTGTAACAAAATGCAATGAAAAGGCTTGACTGCCATTTTTGTCATTAATCTCACAATATTGGCTTATTGAGATCTACATAACATGATTAAAAACTAGATTACTAGCTAATTATGATTTTCTTTTATCCATCACATTGAGTTTGACAGCTTTGCCAGCAGTAAAATGGTCCATGGATTTTGGATTATGATCAAATTGAAAACACGTGATACCAGGTGAAAGTTGAAGAATGTTTTCTTGTGACCAACCCCTAATTGTGACCAACTCCTAACAGTTTGACCTCTAGACACCAGTAATAAAAGTTCCTGTCCCCCCCTTATTTTTTGTTCAGTTGTTGTTACTTGTAACCATCTATATGCTGAGGTCTTGTCCGTATATCATTGTGCATCTTCAAGTTCTGCTCCTTAACAACACTCAGAAATTACTCCACTAGTTTTAAAACTCCAGCCAGTTGGTGTCAGTAATTTAGCCAATATATCTCTTAAATATGTAGCATACTACATATCCTATGACCTTCTTCCACCTGTCCCTTTTTAAATTGTATTCTTGTTCACAGGACACTTAAAACCCATCGTTTCGATCTGTTACCATCAGTCAAACTAATATTAGCTGTTGCTGTTTACCCAGTGATTAATTATGTCTTTCTCACATTGCATATTGTATCTGGTTTTAGTGACTTGCTACTTAAACAGATTTTGGTGTAAGAAATAACCTCAAGAATACCATCTCCGTTAGTTGGCAGTATTATAATATTATTTCATGTAAATGTTGGATTTCTAATCAATCTTGTTTAACACATATTATAAACTTCAATGTGTTTAGTCCAGTTTCCAAAAATGTGAACAGGTGGAAAGTTTGCCAACTTGAACAGAATTTAATATGAACACAAATGTTCTGAGACATATCACTCATCACTCATAGAGTAAAAAGATGAAAAATATCTCCTTGAATCTTATGTTTATTATTAGAGACTGTGCGTTCCAAAGTTCATCATGTGTACTACACCCGAAAAAATATGATACAAAAATAGCATTATCCTCTTCAACACCAGCATTTTGTTAGTATGATAAATGCTTCCTGGATATGACACACACCCTTCTTCAATCAAGGACTAAGTAGAAGACTTACAAGCGTGAATACAGTTTGTGGAAAGTCAATTACTTCTGATGTCTTAGCATGCTATTTGGGAAATAATGATTTGCGGTGAGGAGAGGAGACAGATGAATTTTCATAAACTTTTGACCATCGTAGAGATAAAAATATCCTAATTCACTAATATTGGACTGATTTTGTTTTCAGAAAAACATTTTATTGTTTTAAGTTAATAAGAAGGACATGATATGTATTGGGGTTACATTGCCGAACACCCTAATAAATATGTGCTGATTTAAAAAAAAAAAACTGATATATATTTACAAAAGTTAAGAAATTAAAATATAACAAGAAACAAGGAAAACAAAGATGTATTAAAAAAATGGCATGGCA